AAGTACAAAATTTGAATTTAGTTTTTCAGCCATTTTGACAGCCCTGTTATGTATTGTTCTAATAACCATGTTTTCCTGCTAATCTTCTTTTAGGTCCTGAACAAATCAGTGAGGACGAGAGCAGCTCTCTCCCCACCACCAGCCGTCCCCGGTCCAGACCCACTCGCGCTATCGCACGCACCCAGCACAGCGAACGTGTTCGGGCCAATGTCAACAGACGGCGCATCACACAGGCACGCACTGAAGCGCAGGTTTGCATGATGCTTTCGCTTTGCTGTCTAATCACAAGTGTGTAACAGTGTCTTTACTGATGTGCTGCTGAGCTGAGATTGGTGTGTCATTGAGATGATGAATCCGGTCTAACCGATGTTTGTTTTGTTCAAATACAAGTAAATGGGATAACTAAATGCTAGAACAAGTATGAACATAAATATTGTAACTGTTAAGGTCTTTGCAAAAAAAAAACTGCCTCCAAAAATGTTGTCCGTCATAAAAAAAAAAAGTGAAATCAATTTCAATTTCCTGCGTTTTCGCATCCGCAGCAAGCATTTTGATAGGAAAGGATGACGAATACGAAAAAAAGAAAAGAAAAAAATTCGGACTCAGTGTGCAAGGACTAGGAGTTGCACCGACTAATCGACTTCAAAGCTCTGCCATGACGCTTTAAACTTGACGTTGACTAGTCGCTGGTCCTATAGAGGGCGCAACAGGATAAGAAATCTTTGAAGGACTTCTACATTTACGCTCCGTTTCCAAACAGTTAAAATGACAAATAAATGCATACTCTGAAAGCGCTCCACAAGACGTGTGATTATATTACTGGATGCTCGAAATTGAATGGGAGAATGCACGTTTTAAACAGCTTATTGTACAGGTAAGTTCATCGCCGTTCTAATCTAATGCACTGCTGCACTGTAACGCGCACACAGCTACAGACAGTAGCGCGTACATCAGGTGCACAGAATCATTCAGCGCGGAAATGTATTGTCAACACTGTTCTGTGATTTCTCAATAAAATAGCTTAGAAACTGAAAAGTTCAAGCATATATTGCTTAATAACTAAATCCCACAGCTTCAGTAGCCTACTAGTAGAGAGACGCTGCCAGGTAGAATTCATTCATACAATCAATCGCCTCTCACTTACTTACTGTGCTACTTTATCTGTATCAGATTTAAATAAATAATGACCCAAAGACAAAAGAACTGATAAAAATGAGCTGTTATAGGAGCAACAGCCATGTGGGCAGCGCTGTGTAGGGTTTTTATAGCTCTAAAAATGGAAATATTTATGACTAACTATAACTGGTTATGATCAATAATAAATATTTAGATTATATCTTCGAATTAACTGTAGCAGAATCAATATTACAATTATTTGATCTGTCCGTCCACCGAGCAGACAATATAATAATTTATTAATTCAAGGAACTATTATTTTCCTGGCCACGGAAGAATAAACTGTCCTTCTTTGTGTAGTGCTAACAGTAATTTAGCAAAATGTAGCAAGGGTTCACACATTCATTGACTTCGAA